CCAAACCATTCATCCATTTATGGATGACAATTGATCGGATACAGCTGGAACGAAGATCTGACCAGAAGAGACATTGTTGAACCCGAGACCCGAATTGTACCTGGCTATACCCGGACCCGACCCAAAATATACCCCAAAAGATCAAATAGACCCGATAGGGCCAAAAAACTTGAATTTTAATTAAAATTGGACACGGACCGGGATTCGAGCCCAACACATTAAATCTTATGTATTTTATTCAAAAATACTATAGTAAAATAATAAATAAATAAATAACATTAAAAAAATATTTTAAATATAATTTATATTATTAGAAGTTATTTTTTATATATAATTGATCTATTATTAATATATTAATCGAATTTGGATTGATTCGGATCCAGGTCGGGTCTTGGGTCTATTCGGACTCATTGTCATCTCTACATCAGTTGAGTGTTAAGTTCAACTTCCAATCTAAAATAAATGCCACCTCCCACAGAAATACTCAGTATCTCAAATTAATGTCTAAACTTGGCATCTCCCACATGTTAATACATATTAAACCACAAATCGTACCTTGTTGATCGGGGGCTCCAAAATATGAGATGAGTGCAAAAGTCAAACTAAATTCGCATGAAAATCTGCCATATTGTTCCATTAAGTAGAATATACATATTTCCTATTGAATTTGATGTCGATTTTAGTGAGGAGCTCTTATAATGTCTAATACGTTGAAGATGGAGAGATAATTTTCCTGCATGCTTTAGAATCCACTTGGATCCACAGATGTGAGAAACCCTTGTCGATAGCAATTTCAACTCCTATGAGAATTGCCTGGAGTTATGCAAAAGTATTGGAACCATACCCGATGTACTCCTCTAATGCAACGATGGATCCTCAATAAAGTTGCATATGAATCCACTTATCCTAGCATCACTTGGATTCCCATTCCCTGAGTGGAGTTTCCATTTTTATTGAGTTTAAACAAGCATGTGAGAGGTTTTTTCGAACAAACCATTCTAATGCATTGAGTAGGTTTCTCTTTGAGTAGAATTTCCAAATTGATTTGTCCGAATGCGTGTACCCAAAGGGAACTTAGGAGATCATCTCTACAACATTTCTAGGAACCACCAATTAAAGCCTAGATAGTCTCATTCTCCACCGTTCTAAAGATAGTTAACTTCAATGTGCAGATGGTTGCTACCATGATATGACGCAAGGAGTTTCGAATCACACCAATAATTTAATCTTGCACATTACAGTAATTATAATCTTACAAAGAAATCTCCAAACTGGGCTATGGAAGGTTTTGCAAGGAACATTCCTCAAGAAAAATCCATAGCAGTATGTTTTGTTCTATCACTATAGCCCAAATACATAAAATGTTCTTGATTCTTCAGCAAAGCTTGAAGGAAAGTGCTTTCACCATGTCTTGAAGTTTTCCAATCCCAAACCTCATTTTGGTCAAAGGCTTATAAATTGTATGTAGTACCCCCAGAGTTGGGCCGGTGCTAGGCCAACTTCCATGAATAAGCCGTTGTCAGGACATTCAAGGCTGAATATATGTTAAATAGATTAAATAGACTACTCATGTCACATTTCTTTTCGAAAACTCTAGTTAAGCGTGATGCTCTAGAGTAATTTGAGGATGTGTGACCCCTGCAAAGTCTCTCAGGGTGCGGGTGAGTGAGGACAAAGCGTCCTGAAATGACTCGTGTTGATGTGGGGCCAGTCTACGATCCCGACATGTTCGGCTTCGTGTCGCTTGCGGGCCGGGGTGTCAAAGTTGGTATTAGAGCCGGCTTGCGATAACCCGCAGTCGTTGATTGGACTGGTGACCGGCCTAGCAGTTGACGATTCTTGGGGTGCAACGTGAACGTCACATTCTTAAATTTGGGATGATGTAATACCCATGGAATTGGACTGGTGCTAGGCCAACTCTTTGTCAGGCCATCCGATATTGAATATAGGTTAAATTGATTGAATAGACTACCCAACAATTTGCACATTCTTTTTTGGAAGCCCTATTGAAAGAACTCTAGAGTAAATTTGAGGATGGGTGACCTGGGAATTTACCAAGTGCTCGTGAGTGAGGACAGAAGCGCATAGGATTCAATTTGAGGGAAAAATTAACATCATTGGGCCATTTCTTACTAACAACTAGGATTCTTTTGTGTTCACTAAGTTTTTAACGTAAGGCCAATTCATAATGATTGAAGAACTTTATGATTTTGTCGACACCATCTCCAAATAAATTAGAAAATATGATGAGATCATCGGCATAGCCAAGATGAGCAATTTGGATCTTACCTCTGCAATTGAATAACATGTGACAAACAAACAGTGTTGGATGCAACTCATGAATCATGATCATATTGATGAATTTTCAATCCACCCCGTCGTAAGCTTTCTCTATGTCAATTTTAAGGATGGGGTTATGGACTTTGGCACATTTGTGTAGATCATGAACAAGTTCATAAGAAAGTAAGCTATTATCACTAATTGAACGACTCAAATAAAAACACTTTGGTTAGCGAAGTTAATATTTGGAAAGGGGAGAGCCAATCTATTTATTAAAAAACATGGAAATGATCTTATAAGTGATATTATAAAGACTAATCAACATGAAGTGATTCCATGAAGCAGGGTTTGGAATCTTTTAGGATTATAAAAATAGTAGTAGCCATAAAGCTCTGTAGAAGAGGATTACCAATTTAAAAATCCAACACAACATCATTTGTGTCTTTGTGCAATATATCCCAGCAGTGTTGGAAGAAGAGAGCATTGAAAATGTGGGCTATCCTTGTGCAAAAAGAAAACAACTTTCTTAAAATTTTCTAGTGGGGGCTGCTTGAAATGTTGAAATTATCTGCTATTGTAATTTTATTCTGAATCAAATTTGAGATGAGAGGAGTTTAGGGTTGTTGGTTTTGGGATAGCAAAGCTTCAATAATATTTTGCAGAAGTTTTTTATCTGTTTAGAATTAAAAAAAGAAAAAGGTATTCTGATCACTAGATATTGTGTGGATGAAATTCAGTTGTCTTTTTCTCCGGACAATAGGATGAAATAATTTAAAGTTTCTTTCACCATCCATGATCCACCTACCGGCGGCCTTCTATTTTCAGAAATCCTCTTCAAAGGTAAGGGCCTTTATGAGAATAGCGTGTTTCTTATTATGTCCATGAGAATGCTCTCCAAGAGGTTCTAGTCAAATGCTTCTTTACTTTCAACAACTTTGGTTTTTTTTATCTTCTCATGATTGTTATAAAATACAATTTGTTCCAATATTTAGGTGCTATATAATTTTGTAAAGCTTTTGTTGGAGATTTTAAGGCCATTGAATTCAGTAGGCACAGACCATGTTTCCTAAACCGTACTGGTGAAGAGATGATGCTTAATCCTCAAAGACGTACTCCCTAGACTGCCCTCCAAAAAGTTGGCATTCTTTTAGCTTCTAAATGTCATTGTTTTCAGGGAATAGAGACGTTTGAAAACTGTTCGTGGCTCAGAAGCAATCACATAAAATTTAGAGGTACTTTTAATAGCTCTTTCATATCACAATCCCCCAGACCCGCTCTTTGCACACTTTAGTTATTCATTGAATTCTTTCTTATGATCGCTCATGACTCATATTTGCATGATGTTACCTTTGTTGATCATTTGGTTCATTTGGACTGAAAAAAAAAATGATGCAAAGCACAGAGTCATTAACTTTTCATGTAACAAAATTATATGTAGAGTTCCAAAATTACTTGCAGGTTCTCTTTAGCGGTGGAATTCTTACAAGAAAACATTGGCGTGGTGATTTTTCTATTGCAGAGTAGCTCGGCATCTCATTTCCAGACAAGATTCAGAGTTCCCCGAAGATCAATTTTTGGGAAAAGCCAAGGTTGGATTGGCTCAAACTTAATAGAACAGAGCTTTAAAAGGCAATTTGGAGTTAGCGGGGACGGATGGTATCATTCGAAATCATCCCGGCTCCACTGTCCTTGCCTTCTAGGAGGCCTCACAATTTTTACGAGCATATTTGTTGAGCTTCATGCATTCTCATTATGGTGTCATTGGCAATTGAGCATGGCCTTTCACCTATTTGGATCAAAACAGATTTCATGATTAGCATTCAGTTAATAGCATATTTGGAAGGACATTGACGGCTTCAAGAAGTTTTGTCAAAGATTAAGGTCATCCTTCATAATATCAGTTGGAAGATTTCTCACATCTACTGAAAAGGCAACTGCACCGTAGATTTTCTTGCAAACCAAGTATGCATCTACGGTTAGACAAAGCTTTTGATTCTAAGGGAAGTTTTGGGACTTCTTAGAGGGGTTTTATCTGTATGGATTTTGATGGACTTTCGGGCTTCAAATTTTAGTATCATTTTGGCATATATAAATAGTTGGTTCGTGTCTAATATATAATATTTCTATGGTGTTAGAGGACTCTATCAGACTATCACCTTATGATTGGTCGTTTTGTATATTTCATTTTCAATTATTTTGTTATATATACAAATTAAGATCTTGCCTTAACCTCTCGTGCGACGGATGATTTTTCAAAAAAAAAAAATCAAGATTTATTTATCAAATCCTAAGTGTACATATCATTATAAATTGACACTATATTAAGGCTGAAATTGATTCCATATTGAGGGAAAATAAGACATTGCCGGTCATCATCTTTACTATGGCAACACATGCTTTAGAATTTTTATGAAAACTACAGTTGTGTTATACCTTGGTTTGTTTGTGTGTTTTTTTTTATGTTTTTGGATTTAGAATTAAATTCAGTATATAAAATAAACATGATGTATGAAGTTATATGTTATCGCTTGGTTTGTTATTGATTCTGCATCATCTTGTTTATGTTTGTCTCCAATGAACTGAACTAATCAACCATATCATTGTTGCCTAGTTTTCATTATCAAGTCGAACGCCTTGATTTTGACTCCGTATTAACTTCATAAGCTCTTTATGCAAGAACACGAACACGAACACGAACAAGAATACAACACATACAACTTTAATAAACACACCCAACCTCTTCATTCCACAGCTTTCACATCAAAGGTAGGCTGCTACAGTTAAGCATCCAACAATCTTATCTCCATTATCTTACACACACACAGAAATCTAGGGGGAGAGGGCATAAATTGGATACAGTAAAGCGGCAACTTAGGTAGGTAACGTGTAAAGTACTTAGAACATAGTAATCATCGAATCTAGTTCCAGTTCTCAAGTTTAATACAGAATGAAAGCATGCCTTCTCTTTTCAGATCCAAGTCTACTACACACAGCCTGCTGCATATATTCCTACATCGATAGTGTCGTGCATCACATACGTGGCAAATTCTTTCAAGCAACATACATAAACATTCAAATCGTGGACTCAAGGCACTTTTAAGCGAAGGGCAACTTACAAGAGCCAGGAGCCACATGATAAACAGCAGTTTTCAGTTAGGTTCAGTATTCAAGAGATCCTAGAGATGGAAGTCCTGAGACGATGTTTGAAGCATCAGCAGAATCTATTCTTTCAACTGCATTTCTATTCATAGATTCAGGTTCTTGTTTTCCCAACTTCAAAACATCCTCTGGAGAAAGGATCTTGATATACCAAACGTTATTCACGAAAGCCCTGTATATGCATAGTGTGGAATTAAAGAGTAAGCAAACACATAATGAATGTGGAAGGATTTGGCCATAGAATCGAGAAATACAGTTTACTAGATGTACTTACTCCCATGGGTCGTCTCCAAGGAGAAGGACGTCATTCTCCCTGTCAACGAATACAAGCTGCCAGCCTGATCTTTGAGGGTCTTCAAGCAACCCTTGAATCCCAAACATCTGACCCAATTCCTGGCGCAGCTCCTGATAGCTGCTGAACCGGGCAATATCCAGGGACCTACCAACCGATCCCGTTTTATAGACCTATAAGAGAGGTTAAAAATGAAATCAGAAGTCACTCTACATACACATGCATATTAATTTTTAACAAATCTTTAGTTAATACCTTCACGAAGGTACGGGTTGGTGTAGATTGATCAACTTGTCCAGTACTGTGTACGATGTCAGAAGAATCTTGGACAAAGCCGTAAAGAGGACTCTGATACCCGGATGACCCTAGTGGCATAACTGACATATCAGCATGGACTGAAGAAGCACCAATGTTGGACACGGTGGTGGGCAGCAGAAGGCCAGATGAGTCGAGATTGGCCCCGAAAAGAGCCTGATTCTGCACGTCTAAGCTACATGTTCCCTGCTCAGCAGGAGCCTCTTTTGTAGAATATGGAGGAAGTGACCCTGAATTCGAACAATCACTACCTGAAGCATGTGTATATTTCGCTGTCCACGACTGCTGGGCTAACTGCTCCCCGGGAACTGGTTGTCCAGTCTTCGAGAAATTCAAAAGATTACTGCTTCCTTTGGGGCAAAAAGAACCCAGCATGTTTAGCATGCTCGAATGAGCCATGGATGCGGACATGTTACTGTTTGCATTCGTAAAATCCGGCTTCGTAAATGAAGGGGAGGGAAGATGATCATGTTGGACTAGATAAGTGTCTTGATAATTATGTTGTTGCGGATGCTCTTCCGACCCATGATCAACTTGCGGTTGCAGTGGCCTCTGCATATTCTCTAGCAGCATTTGGGTCTGGGTAGGAAGCATTTGAGAAGAAACCGATGATTGGACGGCCTGTTGCTGTTGCTGCTGCTGCTGCTGCTGCAGATTATGGCTGCTAGAGTGTTGGAGATAATGAACAGGTTGCTGGAACTGCATGTATTGCTGTTTCAGTAAGTCCCCAGTTCCAAAATTCTGCAGCCCAGCTGCTAGCATAGCCTGATACTGTTGGTTAAGATCGTTCCTTGAGCCTGTTGGATCAAATCTCTGCTGCATCAATGGAAACATGCTGGGAGACTGAAAATTAAGAGAATTGAAGCTTTGATCGACAGCTTCTCCTCTCAACCATGCCATGCTGTTGAGTGCATCGTGCCCAGTATCTAGCACAGAAAAGTGTGGAGATATTACAAAAGCCAAAGTAAAGTGAGAAGACTTGTACAGACTTAAGACCGAGCCATTTAATCAATACAAAACTTCTAAACAATAGAATAGAATAGTGATAATCTAGGGGAACTAGTCCTTGTGTTTGGATGTATTTGTTCCTCTCAGAAATTTCCATTATCCCTAGCCCGCCGACATAGCATTAACAAAATTAGCACTTTTCTTGTGCATATACATAAATATAAAAAAGTTCAACAACTTAACAACAATTCAATCATTATCCTTGGTCTATTTTCTATTAAAAATTGGTAGTGTACTAGTGTTCATGTAATAAGAAAAACATCAAACTGTACAGGGTTATCAAAGTAATTGTCTTAAGATTTGGCTTGAAACTGTAACATACAGCAAGGAACAAGACGAAAAAAATTTCAATTATTCATGACCTGAACAAGTCAAATATGTCACCGCCTCTCCCTAAACCCTTCAGCTTTTATGGAAAAAAATTGTGTGCAACCACCAAAGATTAAATATTGAATTGGCAAATTAACTAATTAGGCATCATACGATGCAATTCTCCATATAATACGAAGTACTGAATGAAGAAGTCATACCTTGGAAAGATGATGCCCCGGGATACCATGGCCTTTTCAGCCTCACAGGAAACAATGATGGGTACATTGGAAATGTAGTCAAAGGCTCAATTTCCCACTGAGATACCCTTGGCTGCCTTTCACCTGCTGTGGATTCATCCCAACCAACCTATCAAATTCATGAAATAATGAAATCAATTAATCAGTAGTGACTGGGATACAAGTGTTAATGATACAAAGAGTGTGTGGTACATATTCGGATATCATTATAAGCTACAAATTACAGAAAAATATTAAGCCCTAAAGCGAAGATGTGCTCAAAAGTTGATTGTGACCTTAAATGATACATACTTAGAATCACAAAGTTTGAACTTCCAAAATTGAAGAACAACATGGAGAATCTCTGCCCACTGATCAGCAAATATCGAGAACATATAATTAAGACCTTGATAGGAAGAAAATATTGCATGAGCTAAAGTATAGATCGCGGAAAGGCCACAAATATTAATGAACCTCATCTCAAAACTATAACAAATACAAAAACCCCCAAAGGCAAATTCATAATTGATAGGCACAAATAATTTATTTCAGTGTCTAGCTAGGATTTCGATCAAGTGCAAGACAGGATCTTATAAAAAGTTCCCCATTACTAACTCTGAGCTGATGTTTTCATTCCCATGGAGATTGAAATCTGTAGCAATCAAATTTTTAATTGCTAATCTAGAAGGCTCCACATGGAAATCATATTTATTCGCAATGTCCTTATGGAATGTAATATTCATATGTATTAATAATAAAACTTAAGGTACCTATATATATTGTTAGAGGCCTAACTATACTTGGATACAGATCCAAATCTTACTCCAGTTATCCGGTTAGTATATCTATATAAATGAAGTCATCCCTAATTTACTTTAATTAATCAATGCCGATCTATATAGTCAACACCCACCTCCTCAAGTAGGAGCATATAGATCCATCATACTCAACTTATACATATCTAGTTGATCTACACTCCATTCAAAGCCTACATGAATATATCTCGATGCTGATCTTCAGACTTGGCATGTTCTATAGAGACACAACCTTCTCAAACTTTGTGACGAATGATGTGAGCATCAATTTCAATATACTTTATTTTTCATGGAATGTTGGATTAGATTCAATGTATAGAATAGACTAATCATCACACCTTAGTTTTGTTGGATGGTCAAGTGTGTGGCCGACTTCTTTTATCAATTGTTGTATTCATACCAACTCACATACTAAATCTGCCATCGCTTTATATTCTACTTTAGGAATAGATCTAGGTTTCTTACTTAAATACATAAGACCGCATCCCAAGAAAACAAAATACCTAGAATAGTCTGCATCAATTTAGCATTTGACCATGTCTAGCATAAAGCAAGCCTCATCCACGAGCACTTTTTAGATAGCGAAAAATTGCTCTAAAAGGCCCAATGATTGATTGTAGTAGAATTTATAAACCAGCTTACAAGTTACACCACTAAAAACAAATGCTTTGTTGGGACAAGTTATTGTCAAGTAGTACAACTCCCCAACAACTCTTCAATATCTCTCAAGGTGATTGTCAGAATATATCCTAATATTAAATTGTATATATTCTAGTATTACATAGAATCCTAGTATTAAATAGTATATATTCAAGAATTAAATAGAATCATAGTATGAAATAGTATATATTTCAATATTAAATAGAATATTGTTAAGAAGGGATCCGGGCTTCCAACCTTAAACCAATTGGTGATAGGTGGAGTGGCCTTCACCCTTGTAAGCCAAGAGGAGATCCCACATTTTTCCAATGTGGGATATATTCAACACTCCCCCTTGCCCAATATGGACACTATGGCTCTAATACCACCGTCTCACCTAAAAGCTCGAACTGTTAAGGAAATACACTCATTAATTATTAATCCGCAAACGGGAGTCCTCAATACGCTCCCTCAGGTGCAAATGGAAGTATGCGAAACTTATACATATGCCGCAGACTCTGATACCATGTTAAGAGGGGATCCGAGCTTTCAACCTAAAACCAATTAGTGATAGGTTGATGGCCCTTCACCCTTTAAGCCAAGGGGAGATCCTATATTTTTCCAATTTGGGATATATTCAACAAATATATTTTAGCAAAATATATACATTAAAACAAAATATTTGGTTCATTCTAAGTAGACTAGTTTTGTTTTCCCTATAGTGATTATAAGTATTGTATTTTATTGTAAATGAAAATAAAAAACACAATTACATTTTTTCTTCTCTTTGACGGGGTATCAGAGCAAGTTTGTATCCTAACCCAAAACAAAATACACTCTTGTATGCTTCAATTATAAAGAAAAAACAAAAAAAACAAAAAAAACAAGAAAGAAAGAAAGGAAATCTATCTCTTATTTTCTTTCTTGATCTTTTATGGCATCCTCATTTAACATGAAAGTTATTGTCAGTGCTGCGCTTTCTTATGTTGTGTCTATTCCCTAGACGGCTGTTACTATGTTGATTAATCCTAATCAATATTGTGCTGATTAATCCTAATCTGTAGGATTATATTTTAATCAAACGGTAGAGATGGGTGAGAAGTGTAAAATTGTAAAATGGGTTACAATTTTGTAATTTCCCCACTATTTAACAATATTGTTGTTCTACTTTATCTTTCTGTATCTCTGTAGCTATCATTTTTTTTTGTGTTTTTCTTCTTTTTTTTTAACAATTTATCATATTATTTTTTCTTTCTGCGTATTCTTTAAAATAAAATATTAATAAGTGTGCCTATATCAATATACAATTAGTTTTAAAGGCACAACAATTGATTATGAAGTGCATGAAATATATTTCCTGAAAGCATTATACTACCTCCGTCTACCACCAATCTATCCATTTATTTTTTGCATGTTAATCTTTGAATATTAATTATTATATCAAAACGTAATACAAATCAAGAAAAAAACGACAAATATTTCTATTGGTATCTTATAATACTAATGTAATGACATTTGTACAAAAAATTATACAAATATAAAGATATTTTTAATGTTAAAAACAATGACGCCAAATGCAAATGGATAAATTGGCGGTGGACGGAGGTAGTATTATTTTTTCCATAGCTCCTCTTATGCTCTTTAATATCAGAGTTTGTTCTCTTGTCACACAAATAATTATGATGATTTCTTATAACTGTAATTAAATAATCAAAGCATGAAATATATTTACAAAAAGCACTACACTATTGTTTTTATAGTCTCTTATTGTGCTCTTTAGTATAAAAGTTTGTGCTATTACCAAATATCAATGGAGGAGCTATTATCAATTATTATGCTTTGAGAAAGAGAGAGAGAACTAAGTCTATAAGTCCATCTGATCATCATTATCATATTCTGGTGTTCCTATGATTGGATATTAATAGTGAATGCAGAAGTAGCTTTTTTTAAAAGAAAATAATCAAATGTGAGGTTGCAAGTTGTGGGAAGGAGTATTCACAAAAAATAGTATACTTACTCTTGTTGTTTGGCAATAAGAAAGGGTAGGTAAATTGTTGTTTTGGCTCTACCAAATCAGATCAAGCAAACACACATATCTCTCTTGCCCCTATTCGCAAAAGAGAATTAATTTTGTTTGTTTTTTTAAAGAACACTATGATTGGATAATTAGAGCATAAAATATATTCTCAAAAAACACATCATTATTGTTTGCATAGACTTTTCTTGTGCTTTAACGAATCAGAGTTTGTGCTCTCGCCAAAAGATAATAAATTATTAAGTTAATTTTTTATCAGAGCACTGTAATTGCATAATAAAAGCATGAAATATATATCCATAAAGCACTATTTTATTATTTGCATAGATTCTTGATCTCTAACGAATCAGAATCTGTGCTTTTGATCCCATTACTTATTATATGATGATTATCCCACTCTGTGTTACTACGTGTAAAATTTGGGGTCAGTACGTTTTGGTTTTTTTTTTCTCATTTTCAAGTATCACTTCACCTCCAACTCCAATTATATATATATATAGATATAATATGTCCATTGCTATTATATATAACACATATATAATTCACCTCTTACGGGGTTTTTGCTCTCCAATCTACAGAGTCTTGAAATTATAATTCATTTGACCTAGTTAATGAACTCGTCATTGTTATTATATGTTGTATTTTAACAAATATACATATATAGTAAAGAAAACATTTGGAGTTTTTGAGAATTAATTATATCAGTTTTGTATAAAAGCACTGTGATTGAATAATCAGAGCATAAAATATATATCCAAAAGACACAACATTACTATTTCCATATGACGACCTTGTGTTCTTTTACATAAACGTCTTTCCTTTGATTTGAGACACAGTTTATTCACACATTAAAATGTATAATAAAATTACAAAACTGACCGTATTTAATATTGACCACATGATATAACAATATCAATCTCTAAAGGTTGATATTTATTCAGCGTGATGTTGATGCATTAGGTGCTAACACCGTAAAGCAAGCGCTATTCCCGGTTTTGAGTATGAACGGTTAACCACAATTGCTACACCTTCTACCAATATAGGCTCTATTATAACCTCTTCATGAAGTGCTACAACCTAGATGTTAGATTCCGGTGCTTCCCATTATATTACTGAATCTAAATCTCAATTTTCCTCTTTTACTCATGCTTCTTTGTCTCCAACTTTAGGCTCCCTCGCGATCATCCCTCCCGACTGTTGCACAACACAACCAGATTTAGAAAATTTCACCTTTCTAAATTTCACCTCACAATTACTGTCAACCAATTGACCAATGGAAATAAGATTAGTGGTAAGGCCAGAAGAGACAAAGACATCAATTAAAGGGGAAATATCACCAATAGATGTAATAGGCAAATGGCTTCCACTAGTGGTTTGGGTATCAAGATTTCCGGAACATGTTTTTACATTGGACAAAAAATCAGACCTAAACGTCATGTGATTGAAGGCTCCTAAGTCAAAATACTAAGTATGAGATTTACGAAGAGGTGTACCAGAGATTCCCAAGGCTGAAAATGAGAAATTATCATTTGTTGGACCATTTGAGGAGTAACAAATTAAACATGTGATGCATTTGCAGAACCACCGGCGTGCCTGAAACCGCAATCGTTATTGTGTATGCAGTCTCAGATCTCCCACGCA